ATAAGGGTTTTACTTCTAACCTGATCTACGACCGCTCCTTGAGAATTACTAGTTAGAAGAAAACTCTTACAACTCAAAATTGACGCCACGTAGATGACTTGACTACTGCTAAGTATCGAAATTGCTTAAATCGAGGACAAGTCAACTGGTGCACCATTTGGTGGAGCTAGTGTTACAGTTCTCGTAGATTGAAAGCTGTGTCTCGTTGGATTGCACTTATACCGGTTGTGTCAATCCTCCTTAAACATTGCAACAAATCATTTCTAATTTTTACGGAGCCTCACCTCCTTGTAGTAATTCCGATGTTTTCATAGAAATCTGTTTTTATTACTTATTTTTATTTCGTTTTTATAGGGTTTCTGTCGGTTCTCTAATGAATTGCAATAATTTCTGCTTTTTTATTCAATTTCTAGGGTGTGAAGAAATGTTCTGCACACCACCAGCTCTGCTGTAGTAAAAAGTCTAATGTAAGTATTTTAGTCCGACTTGATAACTATCTTTATGGAGAATACCAAAAGCGCATGGATTACTACAAGGGTCTCATAGCTGAAGATCTGAAGGATGCTGTTGAGTTCCGAAAGGTAAGGTTGTCTTTTGGTTGTCGTTATGGTATAGTTAATGACTTGTTTTTATTTTTATTTTTATTACCTTAATTTCAGACCTCAGCTGCTGAGACTGATTCTCTAAATGCTGTCAAGGAGAATTTCCCCGTTATCATGAAGGAAAACATGCAACTGCAACTTGAAGCCACGTACAGGTAAACCATTGTCATCGTACTGATTGTTTGTTGTTGTTGATGTTATTGTTGTTTTACATCGAGGACATGTCAACTGGTGCACCCGCTTGGTGGAGCTAGTGTTACAGTTCTCGTAGATCGAAGGCAATGTCTCGTTGGATTACACTTGTATAGGTTGTGTCAGTCCTCCTTAAACATTGCGACAACTAACTTTTAACTTGAACGGGGCCTCGGAGTAATGTGGATGTATTCACGGCACTTCTTTATGTTATGTTTGTTAGGATTACTGGTGAGAGGGTGGTAGCGTTACAATGGAATTTGTGACCAGATCTGGCATCAATTTCAAATTTGTGATCGTCCTTGGACAGTGAGGTCTTCGAACGATGAAACTTTCCACAATGTTAAAGGCTGTGGGGAAATTTTTTATTCCCCTCAGCATAGGAACCTGACCCTCTTCTGCCTGTAGATTATAGAGTGACTTGGAAACGCTGGAACACGTGTGCTGTCGAACTTTACTGCAGTTGTTGGACGACATCGTTGAAAGATTTTGCACTCGAGTCATACAATTGCGTGAACCATGCGTAAACCTTCCCGGAAAGGGTTTTTCTCATGTCTGTTTTGGAGACTAAACGTAAACTACTGCTGTGGGACTTACTTAAAAGTGATGAGTACTTTTGTNCCCCCCCCTCCCAGCCTCAAAGCCTTGATGATCGTGGCCTGTACTGAATTCGGCCCTTGACGATGGAAACCATTGCATGTTAGTTAAGTTAACTATGCGTAAACCTTCTGGAAAAGGGTTTTCTCATGTCTGCCTTGTGGATAAAACGTAAACTACTGCTGTGGGACTTACTAGGGTGTGATGGGTACTTTTGTCAAAGCGCTGTTGATACGTTCGTTGTTTATCAGTCTAGTAAGAATGCCAAATACATCATACCAAGGTATGACTTTCTACAATGCGAGTTTTGTTGATGTCATCTGCTTGCTTTTGCTTTCCGGAATCAATTGATGTAGTACTTTTTGGCAAAGTTCTGTAGTTCCTAAATTTACTTACATCTAAATTTTTCAATAACTGAAAGTGTGACTGCATAAGTGTTTAATTTTTTGAATACAAAAACTTAAGAACAAGTAGGAGTCTTACACCATTTCTAACTTCCTGTTTTTTTCGTTGGCGTATTTAAGCTTGACTCAACGAACTGGCGAAATTGAAGAGGGCAAGATTTTGTTCATTATAATTCTATTAAATCTCAAATAAAACCTTAGTAGGATGAGTAACATTGTCTTGAATTCTGTAGCTGTCGTTAATATTTTGCTATTTCCAGAAAGAATGTGCAGAGCGTAGCTACGGAACTCAAGCGTCGCCTTGACTACCTGAAGGAGACAGAGGAGACGAAGAAGCGATTTGAGAAAGAGCAAATGCTTAAATTTATTACTGAAGGGGTAAGTTGGTGTCACCGATTCATTTTGATTAACATTAGTAGGAAGAGACCTATTTCGCTGACTTATTTTTACTTTTCAAGAGACAGAAAACTACAATCATTCGGCCTCAGGGGAATGTTCGGGGTGTGCCGATAAGCTTTTGCCTCAGTGATTGGTTGCTCCCCAGTTTTTCTATAGCTTTCCTAGATTATTTGCTGTTGCCCGGTGGGATAGTTCTTCAGTTAACGAACAGCTTTTGAGTTTATTCAGGGGAGGGTTGTTCTACGAAACAGCAGCCGGATGTAAGTATTGTTAAGATCTACAATAAGATCCTATACTGGTTCCCTCGTACTAATGTGATAATGTTATAAACACTTTAGAATTCAGTGAGTTTCTGGGAACACTCATTCGCTTCAAAAAGTTTTTCATTAAAATTTCTAGCAGTAGCCCTAGTGACATTGATGCTTTTATAATTTTTTTGTGGAAGCCTCTTCTTATTTCACGCCTTCCATGACTTTCTTTCTCTTTTTGTACGAGAAACCGGACCGAAAACTTCCAAACCCTAAAATGTGTTTATTGAAAAATTAGTACGGGGTCCATGCAGAGAATCTTTCGTTTTTGAATTTTGTTACGAAGAATCGGAGTCACTGGGCTTGTGCATATGATATCCTGTCGTAAAGGGAATTTGTAAGAAGTTAAGCTGCAGTAATCAGCTGATTCACGCCAAGGAATGGTTGTTTACAATGTAACTCGTATTCAACATGTGGTTAGTATTTTGAAAACAAGGTGTTTGTTAGAATATTATGGTATGGTAGTGTCTACCTCCGCGTATTTGGTCTTTAACTACCTCCATTCAGGCTTCTTCCTTCTTGTAAATTATTTTGATCACTTCCAAGCTTATTTGTTTTCGAAATTTGTGAATAAGTTTTCATTAAGGTGGAGAAGGAAGCGTCGGACAGAGCGTTTAAGGACAAGTATCTCCAGAATGCGATTCAGACACTGAAAGGACTTCAAGTTCAGGTCTAAATCGCTATAGATGAGTCGCTATAGTCTGCTTGGCGTTCGGCCGTCCATTTTGTGGTGGTTGTTGTAAAGTAGTCATTGCGATTCGTAGCGCAGTACGGTTTTGAGAAATGAAATAGATTTACTTGTTTCCCTTCGTCCGTTGTTTCATATAATATGTATTTGCTAGGAGATGATACAAAGTGACGATAAACGTTTCTTGTTCTCGTTCGACAATCAATTCATATCAATGACGCATTTATTGATTGGTTTTCTTGGATATGGTACATTTGGAAAGGGTAGAAAAACCATCAAGTAAATGGGAATGTAGTAAATGAGGTGTATACACGTAAGCAAGTTAAGGCTTTGGTGTTGAGATTTGGTAATGAACGAGATGATCATATTCGAGCTATTGAACCGTAGGTTCGTTCACGTTTTGGTAGAATCTGATGAAGAAGTTGAGTGAATCCCGTTCGAAACCGTGTAGACATAAGGTTGTAAAATATTGGATTGAGTGTGGCTGAGATGTATTGTAGAAGACCTAAAAGAGTGGTTTTGAAGTTTTACTAGTAAATGGATTTGGAATACTCGAAGGAGAAGTAGAGTCACAAGTAAAGTTTGTAAAATTTCAAATTTAACTAGTTCTTTTTTAATCAACCGTGTGGTGTGGCAGTTGGAATATTGGAATATTTGAAGGCAGTCTTAAGATTCGCTGGTCATGGTACAAAGTAGGCGCCAAATCTGGACGAGATTAGAACGCTCCTTATTGGTTGTACCATTGTGAAGCCTGTGTGCAGCTCGATAGTGAGCCAATGGGAGTTTTGCTGGGGACAAAATTCAATATAAATATTTACAGCCCCCTCCGAGGCCTGACCTAACATGTGCGGAAGGTGTTTATAGGGAAAATGAAGGGCTAGCGCCGGCCATGGAGCTTTTTTTAGTGCTGGACTGATGGTGATATCTCGTCAAACGAACTGACGTCAATCCAATCAGTAAATTCGTCGGGTTGAATGCCCAAAAGGATTTGCAGGTAAGCCCTTTCTTTGTTCTGTTGCGTGCTGCGCGATTAAGTTCAATTTTAGGGTAATAATGTGATCATCCCCCTGACCTGTCAGGATTGCTGCTACGACAAATGTCCATTTCAAATAGTAACTAAAAGCTTTCATGTTATAAGTCGAGTTTTGAAACGTCTGTCGGTGGGTATTTTTGGAATGGTGGCGTTAAGGTTACGGATCGCTTTTAACCGCTACCACTTGCTGGGACTNTCGGTGTGAACTATCTATTCGGATTGCTTTCAATCGCTACCAATTGGTGAGACTATCCGTGGAACTATCTTAATGAAGCTGCAAGCCAAGCAGCTACAATCTAGAAAGAGTAAATTCGGAGAGCGGACTGAAACGACTGAACAAAGGCAGCTACATAGGCGCCTGTTCGGTGGCGCGTTGGTGAACGTTCGAGGGCGGAGCTCGCGCTAGATGGGCGTGACAGATCATGCGCAGTAGAGTCGCATACCAGATCCCATGGTTTCTAACAATTCAGAGAAAGGAACCACTACAACGTTTAGTTGCCTAGGAAATGTAATTTTGCGAAATAACGTAAAATTACTCCTTGAAAACCTCACCTGTAACAGGATAAAGAAGTAGACAAAACATCGAACTGTCACATTGTTGCTTCGTATATTGTACTATCAACCGTTCAACGTGATATGGCAAATAACATACAAAGAATACAGCCGTAACAGTAACTGTAAATATAAGATTTTACAAAAGATGGAGGTAACGGGAAAAATCAGATACTTACAGAGCATTTTCATGACCATTCGTTGTGCTTGTTGACTTTTTGGTGGTGCAAAGTTTTTCGTGTGAACGTACAAAATGCTCGGTTGGGACAATTCCGAGCTGTTGGTGCTCCCTATAGGCACGTGTACTCGTGTTGCCATTGCCATTTCGTTGAGACTCGCTAAGACGACTTTAGTTGTGAGATTAGATGATAGCATAGTAAAAAAAAACCCATTAAAAGTTTTTGTTACCTAGTATTCGGACGTAGCAGTAGAAAATGAAGATCAATGGTAAAACAAATGTGACAACCATTGTGAGCTGAAATCGGAAGCCTTTCGTTATTTATAGTAATAAGTAAAATAAGGCTGTGGATAAGATGCGTTCGGGCAAAGTTCTGGCAGCCGATCAGTAGCCCTCGCAATTGTATCATGAGCGGGTGGGCGGGGCTATCTGGCAAAGAGGAGTGGCTCCCCAAGGCAGCCTAATTCAAGTTCGGTAAAAGGGGTAGCAACGGCATTGGCTACGATAGTGCCGTAGCATTACCTAGACGTTCACAAAAGGCACCACTCCGCGGGTTGAACTGGGGGTTAGCTAAGAAAAGCGAAATTCGGAAATCGGAATCTGTTCGATACTAAATAGTAATGGGAGATATACAGTATGCAGTTAATGCAACAAACCTCAAAAGGATATCGAAACGGTATATTCTGGCTTGTAACATAATCACAGCTTCCTCGTTGACTATTTAGTTCCCTATTGTAACCACAGAAATCCGGTACAACTCGTTTAAACTGAATCATTATAATAAGCAGAGGTAACGAGAGATAATAATCAATTTGAAAGTTGGTTATATAGATTTTTTTGTTACCTGAAGGCCTATATACAGTGAAGGAAAAAATGCAAGCACCCAAATGGTATAGATGAGATACATTACTCTGGAAACAAAAACAGCTGTAAAAACACTTTCGTGAAAGTGTAAGCAGAAAAACTAGTAA